TTCCAGTTTATATTACGATTTAAGAAAAGACGAATTTCTAATTTTTCAAAAATGTCCTTAATAATTGCCTATGTTTGCTACGCAAGACCATAAATATCGGAACCGTGTGAAATCCACTAGACAGGAGTAAAAACGATACTGTCGTATTTTGGATTTTGATTTGGATGTGGGAGACGTACTTGTCTCCGGAAGCCTCTTGCGATCAATATCTCCTCGGTGGTTGATTGTCTTCGGATGGCCGGCGTCCGGTTAGAAGAAGCAGGCGGCCCGGCCCGGCCAGCTGGCGAAGGTTCACGCGATGAACACGACGACGATGAATCGGGTGACCGGGACGATTGGCAGCTACGCACGTTATAATTGCCTACCGTTGTACTTTGACGTTTGTAATTTCGACGACGTCTCTGCCTGCCCGGCGAGACGTCTCTGCCCTGTCTGTCTGGCGATAGACCGCCCTGAAAAAGAAAAAAATATATCGATCAAAACGTGAATTTTTTTGACCGACTATTTGATTCATCAGTGAGTATAGTGTTACAATTTGTATTGCAATATAGGCGAATTATTGGGCCTGTATATAAGACCGCGGTGCTGATGAATACAACAATTACACTGTTCACGAATAAAATTTAAAAAAATGGACATAGCAGGTGCACTGACCATAGGTAGTGACTTCATTCTATTAAACGGATATTTATAAACACGACGGTAAAAAATTGGACAGGGTGCCCGTTTCTTCGCGCGTTCTCTATTCTACATACGCCCAATAATATTGTACTCACGCTGACCCTGGAGTCCCTGCGCCGACTGTAGTGCGCCGAGTCAGGGGACAGCGAGTCCCGTCTCGTCTTCCGGTCCGAAAAGTCCTGGTCGGCGGACAGTGTCGGTTGCGAGCTCCTCCGGCCGGCGAACGGCCCAGATGGCATGCACGTCTCGTCAATGGCCGTCGCTTGCCGCTGCAGTCTGGACAGTTTGTTGGCCGCCGATATGCCGTCCCTGCTGTTCCTCCGTTCCGGCGACACGTGCGGCTTGGAGTTCCGTCGAGCCCGCGACGAATACACCTGTTGGCCGTTCCGAAAACACCATCGTCCGCATTAATATTTTATAGGCTACTAATAGTATTTCGCTAACCACACGTAACTAAATTTATCACCGCCCCCCCCCTTTCTGGTCATTGCACCCTGTATACAAAGGCCACTCCCTAGTGGTTCACGTGCGTTCCGTTTGAATATACTACGATATAAATGTCCGAAAAACATCACGGTTATATTTAGTCAGACGGGTCAATAACATTACACTACATAGGATAATGGGGTCTACATCGTTTGCGACGTCTATATCGACATATATTAGGGAGAATATCGTCTTAACTCCGATTTGGTTTCCTTAAAAAAAAAAAAATCGAATTTCCTACCGAAAATATTAGGTCGATCGAATTTCAATCATTTCAGCACGATTATTAAGGTATTATTATTATCAACTACCGAGTCCATTTCTTTTTTTATAACTCTCGACGGACGGAGGTTAGGAACATAAAAGTATACTATCGAATACAGTATCAAATTTCATTACCGCGGTGCACAATAATTTAAGTTTTACTATAATAATGTTTTTGAATACAAGTTGTTTTCGAACATAAAATAATTGTACAATTTTAAAACTATTCAATCTAACAACTAAATTATTAAAGGTACGTCTACTTTAATTTAATAAACTGCAGGAGATTTTAATAAATTATACAGAAGTATTAGTTTTGACAATTTTCGCGTCAAACAGAATTTTTGAATGCTATTTTACAACCGACAATGTATAATGTACAATATGAACCATTGGCTTTCGTCGCAATCGAGCAAGTTGCGCTGATATCGTGAGTACCTGTGGGGGTAGTGAATAATTATAGAGTTCGATCGGTTTTTAGCGACACGATTCCAGCGTACGTTGAAAATAAAGTGTTGAGTTATGTACTCGCTGTACATATTTTGACCCAAATGGGTTAACTAATTCACTGTATCGCACTGAACCGATCCGATTCAAATATAATTCGAATAATTTACATGACACTAACACGCTTTGACAGCAAAGGGTTCGCACGTTAGTACATATAGTGAGGTCCATGGGGAGTTGCTTAAGGTTTCGTATTCATTTCTTAGCGCAATGAATTTATAACTATTATAACTATTATGCATTATATAAAAGCGTACCCTGATATTTCATAAAAAAAATTAATTTTCGTAATAACATTTTTTTTATAAAAAGGAGGGGGCGATTTCCGCGGAATTAAATGTTGTGCCCAAAGAAACGTCAACAGAAATAATAATATAGCAGAATATTACAGGTAACTCTTCAGTGAGAAATTGTTTGCAAACCGGCTGCCCGATTCCAATCGTCGTGCTCTGTGACAGTTTTTATTATTAAATTCGATGTGATGGTTTTCGACGGATCGAATTTAATCGATTTTGGTTATTTCGATTTTTGTCTGAATAAAATTGAAATTGATTATCTCGGTTTAAAATGAAATTATTTACTTTTACACTATAATGAAGTTCGTATTAAATGTACGTAAAGAATCATATAGCTTGTCGATTTTTAATTCGAAAATTTAATTATTCCTACAAACTTTTGTTTTTCAATTATATTTTAATTTTAAAAAATCGTATCACCTAATGTGTTCAAATCAATAATAACTGAATCTGATTATTTACGAAAATTTGATTTTCAAAACTGAAATACAGTAATTTCCATTATTCCCATCATTCCTATAATCATAGGTAATTAAATATCAATCAGCTAATCAAGTGGTTTATGCGAAAATATTTATATGAACGTGAGTAGAAGTCCGGGTAGAAAACTATACGAACACGAAAATGTATAACATAATGAAGCGAGACAAACAAATAAGCTGTTGAAAAAAAAAAACGGAAAAACCGTTAGCGAAATCTAAAGCAACTAATTAAAAATATCCCTGAATTGTTTTGGTGCTAGTAAAGTTTTCCTTTATTCGGTTCTGGTATCATTTTTTCAATTGTTTCAATGAACGTTTTAACTCGTGGCTCCGGTTGCCAATATTTTAATGATTTTTCGATTTCAGTCCCTGTTTTGGATTGTAAATACTTTATGCGAGACCGTTATTGATTTTGACACGAACGACAAATTTATAGTGAGAGTAAAAATGATTAGTGAACAGTGTGGAATGCTATGTTTAATTTAAGAATGCTTCACCCGAAACTATTCACGCAATACGCAAACCACATAGTTATAACCACAAATGAAAGCCCTGTGCTTACTTGCGTGGTAGAATCTCTCCGGGACACTGGTGGTGGGTGCGTCACGTTGCTGGCCATCAGCTGTGGCGGTACGGTGGACACCGGTGAGCTAGGCGTCGACACAGGCGGCGTGTAACCGCACGACACGCTGTGCTTCGTGGGCGCGGTCGTGGACGATGTGGCCGTCGAAGACACGATGGCCACCGACGAGACATACGTGGACGGCGGCGTGGTGTGGTAATGCGTGGGCGATGGTCCACCCGGTGATGTGGGCGGTGGCGTTACGCTGCTGATGACCATCATCGGTGGCGTCATAGTCTGATCGTCGGTCGTCTTGATGCCACCGCTACTGCCACAGCCGCCGCCACTACCGCTTCCGTCGGCCGTCGAGCCGTTGGAAGACGTCGACTGGCCAGCGTTCATCGGTACCACTTGCGAGTCCCTGCGCTGTTTGTGGCACGTGTGGTGTTGCCTGAATCCGCGGCCGTCATCTCTGGACCCACGGCGTCCGTCACCGTCCGAGTTGCCGACGCTTCAAACAGGACGAAAAATAAAAACAAATACTGTGACGGTATAACACAGGTGTGTTGAAAGAAGGTGAAACGAAGGGGTGGTTAAAAATATAGATGATTGAAGATGTGTATAGACGACGAAAGTAGAGGCACATAGGTAGTGCAAAAAATAAGTAGCTAGCCTTTTTTTTAGAGGATGAGAAACGATGAGATGGAGAAACGGTTATAAGAACAGTAAGGATAGGAGTAGTTGCCATCTCACATTGGGGGAGGAAAGTTTTTACATGGGATGGACCCGCCTACTCTAAATCGTCCGGTATACGATCTATCCACGGAGAGAGATTGCAATTTCCGGTTCTGTGCGAATGACGTTTATTTTTTATTTTTTATTTTTTTTTTTTGACACAATATAATATAGCCTATAACCTATGATCGTGCGTAAAACTTTTTAAAAAGGTATGCCACTCAGGTTTCTCCCCCAAACGGACTTTCGCAAACACTGTTTTTCGTGGAATTCGGTGTGTTCGGTGGTTACGACAGTGATGTTAAAAGAAGTTTAATGTAAAAATGATAAATCATTTTAGTTAAAATACACTGTTTAATTGATACCGATATTAGGACTCTGCTATTTTTTTTTAACGACAGTTATAATATTAACTTGTTAATGTTAAAGGATATGCGCGTACTGAACGAAAAACGTTACAAATTAACCTAACCTAACCTAAGAATTTATTTGTTTTAGTTTCTTTCGCGGTAGATAAAACGTTACAAATTAACTTAACCTAACCTAAGTATTTATTTGTTTTAGTTTCTTTCGCGGTAGATAAAGACGTAAAATCTGTACAAATAGCAATATGCACCCTTATAATACAAATGCCTAAAAAAAAAAAATGAAGTAAAAACGTGTTTTAATCGATTTATGGTATGTATTATATGTGGATCTACATTTAAATGTACAAAACCTAACCTAACCTATTTTAACCTATTGTGACCTCATTATAAATATTATATTATATAATTTATAACGTATCATGACCAGGAGATAATCTATAAAATCGGCCATGTCTCGAAGCCATTATAAAGCAACAAAACACATATAGTATACGAAATAAAAGTTAAAGATTCTGTGAATACTAAGGTATCAAATATAAAAATGTTAGAAAGAAAAAGGTATCAATAACGAGGAGAATTGGTATGTTATTCATTCAAAACCGAAAAAATGTAATGGTTGTACAACGATTTATTTTTATTGTTATGTCTATAAAAAACTTTCTCTTGGCCCAATTATCATATTCAATATTGGTTTTCAATAGAAAACTATAATTAGTTCGTACGATAAAAATACTATTTTCTTTTCCTTATAGTTTTATTAATAACGGGGAAAAACGGGAATAATAATGGCTTCTGTTAATTTTGATTTTGTTGTTTTGAAATTCAGTGGAAAACAGTCTTAAAAAATTTCGTGGAAAAAATACTTATAATGTTTGCGCTGCATATAAAATTATAACAATTGTAACGTCTACAATAAAAAGCGTGCGTCTGCTCGCTACCAACAGATTTTTGTATAGGTACCTATAATTTCCCCCGTACAATAACATGATCAGTATACAAAGATAACGTACTTCCACATAATAGTCTAAAGGTTTTCGTTTTCTCAACTGAATATCGTTATCGTCGGCGATGCACGTCGACTTCGCGCACATAAAAACCATAACATTGAAACCCGGCAACACTATTACAAAGGCTACGGCCAATCATCGCGACAGAAAATATACAAATACCCCACTCTATCGCCAACTCCAAAACAATCATTAACATAAATCTTCGTCGTGCCCAGCGTCTCATTTCTGAATCCTACATTTTTTGGCTCTCACCGCGGATTCTTCTTTGACTTAAACTTATTCCTCTAGTTAACCAAACACGACGTTTTTATTTTTATTCTATTCGATATGAAAATTTTCATAATGGAGGAGTAAGAAGAACACGGATCTCGCAATCGGATGGCGTTCGCCGGGAAGAAGATTCGTAATGTATAATTTATTTAATACCTGACCTTTTGTGGCAATGGCAAACAATTTAAATCCTTAACACGTGTCCTTCCCACACCATATACAATCCACGGTTAATGAGTTACAACCGTTTGTTTTATTATTAAATATTAATTCTACGTAACCTTGATATAGGTACATCATAACGTGTACTGATATTATTTTTGAGCGCAATGAAAATAAACACACACAACCCATTGGTGAATCGAAGTGTATACGCAGCTAAAAAGAATCATTCGTATATACTAACAAACGAGATAAAAAATACGATTCCATATAGTGGAACATACGCCACGTTGTGAGCTCAATTTCACCAATATCCCTCTGTTTTTATCTATTTTTTTTTATTCTCTTTCATCTGATGAACATCTGGATCCCAATTCTTCAAACACATGATTATAGAAATATTTCCATATGAAATGTATGTCATATGAATATATTAACATTTCAAGTTTGTAATGTACCGTAAAAATACATATAATACTTAGTAATGAAAACAAGTTATTGTTTTATTTATGTGAAATGACGAAAAATACAAAATAAATGCTAGTTTTGTAAATAAATTAATTGTACCTATCTAGGCAGCCCCTCCCTTCCATTTCATTTTTTATTACTATTTATTATAAAAATAATAATATATTATGTGTTATTATAACTATGTATTTGGAAAAGAAAACCGGCATTTATATATCTAGATGAAACTGATAAAAGATAAAATTCATTGAGCTATTTATAGGAATTTTAAATTTTAAATTTGTATTTAGTTTTTAGGTACAGAAAAATACCTAACAGGGATTTCGCAGAGAAATAATACAAATTCTACTCTGCACGGGTGTTCTATACGATGATTTAAAAAGTTTCATAGGGATAAGTCCGTCAAAATTCAAAAGTAAATATAGTAGATGTACGTCGAAATATAAAACTAATTTTCCATTTTGCTCGTATAATCGCCGGAGATCTTTCGGAGTAAGCAATTGAATTTATATTGTGTTTCATATATATTTTTGTACATGGTAATAAATAAGACATTCACAACTCACGATAACGTGAAACTCCTATACAAATATATTCAATTCGTTAACTTATATTCTTTAAAGGTATAATTTAATTTTAAAGGTAGCTGATGACTCATCATCGCGAGTTATGAAGCTTTTTAGGTTAGATTATCTATCAGTTAGAATTTAACTTTCACTTTCTATTAACAGGATCTTTAGATGGTTTCTGGTCTAGTAAATGAACAGTGCATTTGAGTAAATCATTTTTTCCTCTTAGGTGTTTTAAAAATGAGAAAAAAAACGGAAATATTGGCACAAACGTGTTTTTTGTTTTTAGATTCTGACTTTTATATATCTTGAATATAAAATTCGAGCTAACAACAATAGCTATATTTATACAGGTTTTAAGTTTTTTTTGAAACTTATAATAGCTTAAGTTATTATAAAACTTAAAAATTAAATTACGATTTTCAATTTACATTTATCAAAAAACCTTTTACCAAACTCCACTCAAAATTTTTTCTCGTTTACAAAGAATTAATATATGCAATAGCCTTCTATAGATATATACTCTTCATACTCCCAAGTTTTCATTTTAAACAGTGACTGACTTACTAAAACTTTATCTAGTACGAGGAGCGTAGCGACGATCGTACAGATCGTCAACAGTCATCACAAGGTCATGTGGACCAAAATTGAGCGTTTTGGAGTTATTTATAATTGTAACTTATATCGAATCAACAATGCCGAAACATCGTATTTATATAATAAATAATTTTCCATAAATATTAAACTCCCCGGTGTAATCATATTCCGGACTAACCACAAATTGTATTATGATGATTTTATATACACGAGTTTGTACATCACGTTTTGAGTGAAATAGCTATATAGAAACGGTGGGTACGAAATATTCTATCAAAAAAGCCAATTAGGAAGAACATTGTCTATATTAAAATACAGTGATCCTTGTTACTACTATATACATTGGTAAACTTCAGTGGTGCAAAATGAGTTATCTCAAAAAGTTTTTCGTTTTAATTTATATTATATACGAGAGTTAACAGTATTTGAAAAACCCTAAGCGTATATTATATGATACCGAAATTGAAAATAAGTTTTAATTACAAATTTCAGACTACTACGTGATGTTGTCATAATATATACGTATTATACCTACCTACTTAAGAAGACAAATAAAATTTAGTTGAAAATAGCAATGCAAAAATAATAGGTAATAACGTACATTTTCCTATTTTTACGATTTTTTTTCTAGATTCTCCCCCTCCCCCAAATTATTCAAGTAATGTAATGACTTCACCTACCATTTCTAACGGAAACTACACTAATATTTGATGATTGAAATAAAATTTCTAGTAGAAATTTGGTTCAATACATAAACTCATATTTATAAAAGTTATGACGTTTTTGATAAGTGATAGGTGAGTTACTGTTGTAGGGAAAAGTTAGGAGAGAAGTATACATAGAGTAGTGTGAATAGAGTTGTGTAACGAGTGTTTTCTACAAAATGTAGACAAGAAATCAAATATATATTAAAAATTGGGTGCGCAATAAAGGATACATTTGACTCTAGATTATTTGACTAAAACACCGTAATAAAAAACTGTTATCCTTCCCCTTAAATGGGTATCGGACACAGTAGATTATTCGAAAATCCGTATCATTATGATGGTGATTAAAAAGGTGAAAAATAATTTTTACATTTTGAAAAATTGGAGCAAATTTTTTAAAGTTTGATTATAAAAATGAATAAGTTAATTTTATTTGATTAAATTTACTGTCATGAAAATTTAATTTTATATTTTAAAGAATAATATTCGTATGGAATTCTATCTTCGAGTCTCTAACCTAACCTAACCTATCAAACAACAGTGTAGCTTGTCTTTTTTTCAAAAATAAATTCAAATATATTACTCAGCAGATCCCCTGCGCCTCGATGGTTGCGAGATGCTGGGCGTGATAATCGAGTCCCGCCGGGTGTTGAGCAGTTTGGCGATATCGGATCGGAAGTCGGTCTTGGAGTCCCGACGGCCACTACCACTTCCGCCACCAAATGCCCGGCCGGACGTCGACTTAAAGCCCGAATCGACAGACGACTCGCGCCTCTTTCCAATGATTGTGTTGGACCGGCCGAATGGCAGCGTCTTGGCGATGTCGGCCAGCGTCTCACGCCTAGTGATGCCCTTTGGCCGGCCACTTGCCTTGCCACCTGCACCACTACCTCCGGCTCCAGCACTACCACCGCCCCACTCACGCAGCAGGTCAGTGAGATGAGCTAGTGAACTGCGTCGCCGCCGCCGACTGACGGGTGGTGATGTTTCGGCCGTCTCCGTGGGCGGTGACTCGGTGGTGATCTGTGCGGCTGAGTCGCGGCGGCCTCCCAGCCGCTGCTTGAGTGTCGTCTCTTCCATCTGTTCGCGGAGTATATCGTCCCAGCCATTGCCACCCTGCCACACAAGACCCACTTGGTGGCTCAGGATCGGCAAGTTGCACACGAAACATATGGCCGTCATCGTCCTGCTAGTACAAAAACATTTCGGGGCCAATCAGCTAACTACGCTACAATTGGCCAAAAGGGCCGATTTCTTAACAATTTCCCCCACGGCCCCCACTCCGTCCGTGCACGGCCCGCGCTTCGTCCGGTGGTGGCGGTGACTGCAGCCATGTCCCAGTCCACAACCATAGCGATACAAGTTTCAAGTTGTTTTGTCAGGGAATCAAACCGGTTTTGAATGCCACAATAACAAAAAACTGCTACTGGGTTGAACCCGAAATCCGACTCATTCTCGAAACCAACTAGGTTGCATATTATGATACTATACCGTGTTTCTAATTGAGTAGCATGTGATGCATCTGTTTATTGAGTGTTTATTCAACAATACTGGATTTAATTCAGACAATTGAGGTTAACATTTCCTTTATTTTTTCCCCTGGCGTACCAGGCGTAGTGTGATTTCACCTCACAATTCGGGGCTTATTTTCGATTAAAATTCCGACATAGGCTGTAATGTGAACGGAGCTTGCTGGAGTTCCGAATATAAAACAATTGATAACGCGCTATTTTATCGATAACATAATGCTCAAGAAATAAATATGAGGTTTAGGCTTATACTTAAAAAAACTATCCTCTTCGCAAGAATATTAGATAGAATATCCAACCAATCGTAAGGAGAATTACAATATTGATATGTATATCGGGTGAAGTATAACAAGTGACTAGAAATGAATCACAGTGCTGTATGTTTATATGCAACCTAGTTAAACTCGAAACCAGGACCCCCAATACGATTTATACCTGTAAACTGAAGCCTGACAAAAATCATGTCCAGTTTATATTGATTTACTGTAAAAATACATTTTCATTAATTATTTTTTATTTTATTTTGTTTTTATATTATTATAAATTTGTATGGAACAATTGAAATATCATAAAATAAAAAAATATTTTGACGAAATTATACAGCATAAAGACATTTTCTTTGTACTGTCTTAAAATGTATATATACAAATGAAATTTCTAGTTATAGGTTGTAATTATACTTAATTATATTGTTTGGGTTAGATTAAACCCTAGCATTTGATTTTTAATCTACGTCCAAAACCCGATGGAACGTTAGTACATAAAATTTTGTTTTAAACCGAAACCGGTGTCGTATTTCAAAACCTCTAAATTCAGCACCGTGTCCGAATACGCTGTTATCAATAGCAATATTTTAAACTGTTATCTAATTATTACAACAACAACGTAGTAATTAGTGACTTAATGGATTAATGCGGTGTTTACGAAGTCGAACAGATTTTTAAAAAAATTTAAATAAAGTTTAAGTGTTTAGTTCACACCCAACAATTGTGAAATAAATGTTTATGTTTTCTTCCTCGTTTCTTACCAAACCTTCCCGGTATGGTTTTGAATAATAAATCACTGTTTGATTTTCGACTAAAATGCATACATGGGTTCGAGAAACGGATGATTTGATGTGATAGAAGTCCCTGAGACAAAGCAATTTAACTACAACTCTCATGATGACACGATATTTGAATAACGCGATATTTTACATAGGCCAAACAGAGATCATAAAATCATAATGCGAAATTTAAACCAGCCAACAATAACATCGTATTTGGATATGGCATTAGGATTATAGATATTTTTGTCATACGAAATCCAGTGCCATGAAGAAATGAAATGAAATTGATTCCCTGATTTT